CGATTGGGTCATAAACATCAAATGTTACAAGCAGTTAGTATTTGAATTAAATGAAGTATAAGCATAGTCTGTCTGTTTAAAAATGCAAATGATTCACCACGACCACAATGGTCATCCCAATCTATCAGCACGTATAATAATACCGTTATCAGTTTTAACCATAAACACGAACACATGCACAATAATTATCCAAAACAGTGTCATCCTTGTCATTACCACGAATACCAAACCCAAAATAAAAATTATAGTATCACCAGCACGAAAACTCAATGTAACATCAACATCATTTTCAGCATTATCAACCCAGGTGACTCAACAACATCAGGAGCGCCACAACCAACGCCAATATATCTATACCAGGGAGCATCCATCCAAACAGAATCATTCTCAACATTTCCACACCAGTATATTTATGATACCGGGGACATCATTATCAGCAGTTGCAATATCACTAAGCCTGATACATGTAGCGTCATTAGCAGCGAAGCAGCAGCCAAAACAATTATAGAAACATTAGCATTAAAAGAAGCACCAATACCACAAACACAAAACAGCCAGATCTGATATTTTTGTCGTTGCTCTTGTAGGCACTCTAGTTATTACCCGATTAACTTAAAATTTGTACTCGGTGTTTATAATCATGAGATGAGGAGTTATTGACCCGTTACCTTTTAACTCCACAATCCTTATACCACCAAACAAACACCAATTAATAAACAAAAAAAGACAGGTTACCATCACCTACATACTTTTTTTTTTTTAAAAATAATGATTCTGGATTTTCTTCTGTCTGGGTTGATTATAGATGTCTAAATTAGTTAGTCTAAACAAACTGTTGTAAATAAATTCTAACCGTTTCTAGAGACTTTATGTTTTTACTTTGATCTTTGTTCTATTTTTGGATGGACGATTGCACACATACAATCTGTATTCAATAACTTTACTGTAGTATTGTGTTTTCGTGGCTGTCAAATTTGGTTTGTGCTTTTAACAGCTAAGTGAAAGTTAGTGGTAGTGAAAGGGGTGGTATGTAATAAATAGTGTTTTTGTTTACTGCCATGTGATGGTAGACCGAGGACGTCTGGTTATACTCAACGTCACGTCTGACTCTTGTGTTTGTTATGTAATGAATTTTCCATAACATTATTGTATTATTCTCCTGCGAGGAAATTCAAAACCCTACCAAAGACAACATCAAAAATAATTCACACACGTGCTAACTATATTTCTTCCCATCTTTATCCCATACTTTTGATTTGTGGAAGACATGTGTTTGGGAATTTGGCGAAATATATAGGATGTTGTTTTGAAAGAAACATAACCGTAGCATACCGATACCTCTAATCTGTAATTTATTATCAACTTGTAGTATATTATTATATACTGCACCCATATCTTATATTCGTTACAATTCTCACCACAATTCGTATTAGTTTCGAATTAAAATGGCTTCGGTAGTTTGAGAAAGGTCATTTAAAGTACACGATCGCTAACGTATCGTCACCAGATTAGCGGTTAATATTCTCTGAAATTAGTTACAATTCACATAACAATTCTTATGAGAAATATTTAATTCTTATGACGTCAATGTCTTCTAAGAGCATTTGTAAAAATAAATAAATATAATTAACATTTCGTCAATATTTAGTCAATTTGAAACTAACAATACGCCATTTCGGATAAAAATGAAAGGGGCCAAGTAACGGGTTGTTAAAAAATAGATTTTTAGAAATAGCTTCACGGTGGCAGTATGAAAAGTAACCGTGCTTGATCAAAGACATTTGATGTACACTATACTAACAGGTGAAAATAACAAGCTTAGAAAAGATCAGGACCTTAAGTAAATGGTCATCATTAACTAATATCATCATTCATATCCAAATCTACCCAAATCATAGGTCGGCATATTAAAGTCCCGGTGCGTCAGTTTAAGCAATAGCAATCATTTGCAAACTATTAATATTGTGAAAGATGAATCTGTGATTGAATTATCAGTCCAATGATGTTCATTTCCGTACAGTATTTACAAAGATATGTGGAATTGCAATGTCATCGTTCTATACTGCTCGCTTATGTAATAAACGTGCAGCTAATTTTTGTCCACGAAAATTTAACGATAGGCCTGTTTTAAATTTGATTGAATCCAAACCGGGACATCATCTAGCGTTGGTATTTTGATTTTGTTTTCTTAATTAAATGTTAAATAATCAATCTAAGTACATGTTAACGTAGGGGGGTGGATGGCTGAATGGTTAGCGTGCGCGCGCTGTATCATAAAGTCTGTCATTGAGTCGACTGGCGTGGTTTCGAATCCCGGTTGTACGTGGCAAGGAGTAGGGTCGCCTGTCCAACCTCGTGGGTTTTCTCCGGGTCCTCCGGTTTCCTCCCACTGCTAAAGACCTCTACGCGCAAGCGAATTGTGTAAATAAAATTAAACCATATATTAGTCCCGAAATGACCTAGTTTGTGTCAAGTGGACGTTAAACCCTATTGCTCTCCCTCCCTCTCTCTCTCTCTCTCTCTCTCTCACACACACACATATTAACGTGGATTAAGCCGTGGGAAATTTGATATTTTAGCGACAAATGCTACTGGCGCATCGTTACTCTTAAGTGTTGATGAAAGCCTTTATAGTGACTGGAATAGAACGTTATAGTAAAAATGCTAGTTAATCTAAGATACTATAATCTGATTACATCAACGGTAACGTAGTTAACAGTAAAGTCCCATATCTAAAATAAAGGTATATAGTTTTATCATCTGGTAACATTTATTTCACATGGGCTTTGGATAAAATATCAAGTTCGCTAAATGAATTGCAGAAAATCTAGAGAGATATTTTTGTGACGTGGAAGGTAATATATCCGACATTGGTGTCAGGCCTGCCAAAACCCAGTAATCACGTTGAAAACATGCGCATGCACCAATTGACTTCTGTTCCGCACGTGCTAAACATTCTTGGCATTATTGTTGCATGTTCTTTACCCTTTCCTAGAATTTTTATCCAAACCCTGTTTTTTAATGGAATAATTTTCAAGTTGAACAAAGTTGTTGATGCGATGCAATATTATGCACTGGCTATACAAGAACATTTGTCAATAATTGGATTATTACAAACCACAGTGAATAATATTTTCAGTTCTGACTGAATTGACATTGTGCAATTTTTGACCAGAAACTGAGCCGCTAGCGCTGCTCATCTTGTTGTTTGTTCTTGTTAGGGGTGGCGACTCCAATTCAAGTGCGTGTGCTTTGGACAGATACCCATCGATGTGATGTCACAATTCCAAGATGGCGACTCCATGCTCAGCTCCCGAGTCATGATACGCCGGTACGGTTGTATCAACCGTTTCAATATCCACAGTTGGACGACGTGTGTCATGTACGATGCATGATTTGCTTATTATTTATGTCATTTCTCCCCCCCCCCCCCCAGAAAGTTCACAGTAATAAGGGATAATACATCATATTTTAATCTAATTTACTTTTGAAATTTAAGGATACGACATCTTTGTTTGGGGGGGGGGGGGGGAAATGATACGATCTCTTTAATTAGGGTAAAAATAACAATGAAAAGATACGACCTATTTTATCGGGGAGTAAAAAAGGATATGATCTCCTTGATTAGGCTAAAAGTGAAAGGATACGACCTCGTTGGGTAAAACAATTGACATGTGGGTAGAAAAGGAATAAGACAAAGTTTTTTATTGAATTGAATTTGATCTGCTGATTTTATTATTTGCGAATTTGGTATGTGTCTACATTTAAAATTTAAGGTCCGCAGATCGACGCCAATGTTTAGATATAACTAATTTTTGGTTGGGCGATTCGGCTAAAAACAGAAAAAAATAGTGACCGACCCAACTGTCGCTTATAATCTTTTTAAACGAAATGGCACATCAGATCAGCAGAATTCAACATTTTATTTCTATCAACTAAATCAGTACCTCGTTTTAATTCCTTTGGATATAAGGCCTGCAGACCCGAACTGTTTTGATTGAAATTATCATATAAATATGCCCAGGTTACAGTGTCCAGAGACCTCGAGTTTCATTCTATTCAAGGCTGGTCAACATCTTGCGAAGTGTTCAGTACATGTATGATACTGCGTAAAACAAATCCAATTACAGCGTCGCTCGCGGAATAGGAAGAAGGCAGAATTCCATGTCCAGTATTGCGAAATAGCTCACCGATAATGATGAAATTCTACCTTCATGGCCCTCAGACAATTTTGACATGTAACTGACCTACTGCCCCATTGCTCTATTTCTTCATGATATCTGTTGTGTCCTGGGGAGGAAACGCCACTCTTGGGAATATTCTCCGTCTTTAATAAATCATTGACGTCACGTCTATTTTTTTTCTTTATTATTTCTGCAATGCACTATACCTTATATTAGCCTGTGTTCTATTGCCTTATCCGTTGTTTACTATTATCAACCTAATTATACTTATACAATCTGTTTTACAAAAACGGATGACTATATGGTGTTAATAAATGGAGCAATGCTGGTAATGTTTAAAATGGCACCAAAAACTTCCAAAGCTCAACAATATTTTTTTAAAAGGGGGGGGGGGGGGGTGGACACGCTTGTATTAATAACAACTGTCTCATTTTCGTTTCAGATTTAGAATGCAGTTTTCCCTCTTATTGTTTTAATAATAAAACTGAGAATATGAACAAAATTGCTGATACTATAAATGTTTGTACTATTTTATTTTGAATGGAATTAGATACATACTAAAAAGCGAAGGAAGTGAAAACTGACAATATTGGTAATTGTAATAGTGATTAGCACAATAGAGAACTATCGAAAATATTAAATGTTTTCTAATGAGGTAATGAGTATGAGTGAAAATCGTTTAATCGCCTATCTTGATGTCGTTGGTATCACATCCGGTGGTTTAGGTTAGCACATTGTTGAATCATCCCCATCTCCACTCTAAATCCCCATTTCAAAACAAAGATGACAAAGACGAGTGTTAATTTTGTTTTACAATATGGATTTATTTCAAATATTAAACAATATGAAAGCAACGAGTAGGGTTTACCATGACGGTAAACCAATAGTTAACAAACAGCACTTAGAACTATAAAAACAGTATTAATATTATATTATGTCATACTATAGACACGACTCTCAATAATACATAACAGAATAGTTGAACCAAAAAATATTCAAATCTAAATAAAGAAAATTAAAGAAAATAAAACCTGTTTCAATCGTCAAACAAAACTGGAGTAAAACTGATATTATGCGTTATACCAAAAGAAAATTAATTATGTTATTATTACAATTCATTGTTTTAATACAAAATTCCTTCCTTGTGAAAAAATATACGGAAATGCATTTAGAGAATAAAACAGATTCAAAATATCATTCTTGGTCAAAACATTATATAAATATATTTAAGTATAAACATGATCATTTTTTCTCTTCCGTTTAAACAAAAAATATTTAAAATTGTTCTTTTCCTGTTCCATCAGTGTGCTGCTAGAATTAGATAAATTTGTAACTAAAGGCATGATAGCAATAGGTAGACTTTTAATACAGTGCACAAATTTAGAGTTTCGCAAGGTGGTGTTCTGACACCAGTTTTATTTTATAGCGACGCAGATGACATTGCACTGTACAAAATCACGCATTTCAGAACTAAAATTCGAACTACATATTACAAGACGAGCTGATATAATATTTAAATAAAAAGATATTTCGGTTGAAATACTGGAAACTAAAGCTGACATTATGGTTTCATATACAAATGAACACAAAATCTAACTCGATGTTTATTATGCAGTAGTCAAAATAACACAATATTAAAAATAATGAAGTTGAACATCTATATAATATGTATACAAAAATGGTTTCATCTTCCAACAAGAGTTAACACTAATTGGAATGGTTTTGTCTGTACATGGTATAATGAGTATCTTTACATTCAGTACTGTTCTATGCAATACATTGTATTTTGTAAACGAAAGGGTACAGTAGTGCTCAAACGAGTATTCCGTTAGGTTTTGATTAATCGGTTTCGTAACCGGTTTGGAGTTTCTAAAATGACCACCTTAAAACAGCACTTTGAATAAAAATATGTGCTTAAAGGAATTGTTATCCCATATCCGCAAATTTATGTACGTTTAACTGGGTAATTTAAAAAAAATATATATATAATCGTTTGAACACTAGAGACTGGGGTACAGGGTCTTCATATAAAAGTCGGTATATAAGAAATTTACACTATTTGACAATACTAACGACCTTTGATACACGTTGACCACCAGACTTTAAAACAAATAAAATAATATTAATTAATAATCATATTCATAATCGTAAAATAGACAATTTAGTCCGGTTTGAGGACACATAAATAATGTATATATATAATATCATTTATATTGTTTTATCCTTGCTTCTTCGTCTTCTGGCTTCCATTAAAACTGGAACCACTACGACTTTCAGTCATAAACATGGGGATTTATAATGTGCTTTGATGTCACTAGTCTTGGATTCCTCTATCCAATCATTTAGAAGGGTCAGTGTTTTGTCGATAGGTCATTAGTTTTTTGTTATATTCGACCAGCTCTTTAAATTAAAACGACTTTTTGCTATACACATTGTAATGTGTATTATGGTACGTTGTGACGTCACTTAGTTTATACATCAATACACGAAGAAATATAATCACTCGTAGTTCACACTGTCTTAATTAAGCGCACCGATCGAACTGCTGAATATATCAGAAATGCTGTTACTGTTTTGATCAGCGTCTAGGGAGGGTGTGTGGAGGTCAGAGAGAGAGGGGGAGGAACTAATATCGGAGACTGCCGGAGATTGATTTTTAGACATGTCATCAATAGATTGAGAGTCTGTGCACTTGTCATCAGATGGGGAACCTGGCGCGGTGCCATTTTTATTATCAGGATCTTGTTTTAACACATTTCGTCGATATTTTGCTCTTGCATTTTGAAACCACACCTGAAAAATACAAAAATAGGATACATTAAAACATATAAGATAAATTTCATCAAAAATACCTGTATTCTCATATAATTAAACTATACGATTCTGTCTTGTGTCCTCCATAGAAAATATTTAGTGATATTGTCCTTTTAAAAAAATACTGTATCAGATTTAATTCTTGATTTCATCTAAAATGGCAGACATAGGTATGTACACTAATGGCACCCTCATTCCCCCATCCCCACCCGAATCCACACACCCTTGTTTCTGTTATATTTTTGAATAATTAAATCTGTGTTAATCATTTCATTTAGCAAATCGACAACCTCTAGGACATTAAAATTTTCTTGAATAATAAATAATGTCTGTGTTAATCAATCCATTTAAGGTTAAACCAACCCAAAAAGCTAGCTTCAGTTCCTACAATGAAACCACGGAATGGTAATGTACTATTGTGCGCTTGAAAATTTTAAAAATGTGAACAGTTCAGCTGATAAATAGAGGTGAATGGCAGGGCAGGTAGGCAGCATTAGTTAATATTATATTACCTATTACATTAGCATTCAAGCCGTGTGCTCACGGAAATGGGGTAAAACAATGCAACAAAAGTATGTTTGACTGGGTCACCTTCAACAGGTTACGTCCGTCTATAAAAACTTGTATGGTTTGTTTGAGGAGGATATTTGTAGATTTTCACGCGAAGAGGAGGACAAACACTTCACCTTCCACCATCAAGTCGTTGACAAACTTCCACAGTAATATTCAAGAAAAACTACATCATTGAAAATTCAAAATCCTGCTCGTGCTCAGTGTTTTATAAAATGTCAATATCTGAATGGGATACACAGGCAAGCGCACTTAACATATAGTTTGTATGATGAATTGAAATTTCAAAAAGCAGGGGAAAAAATGAGTAAATAAAGATTCGTGCCTGTCCCGTTGTGGCTCGTCGTCTGCCCATACAAAAGGTGTCAACCATGACAAAAATCTATTTTTGCTTGTTAAGAGCCCGATTCAATATTTACCAAGAAAGGGCAATGTAATGTATAGAAAATTCATAGAAATGGTGACCAAGTTAGCCCGCCCACCCCGTCGAGAAACCAGAAAAAATACGTAAGCACGATTAAAAAGAAAGAATTGAAGAAGATGGGTTGTTTTCACCGTTTTTTTTCTGCTTCAAAATATGCAATCGAGAGAAGGAGGTGTATTGTAAACAAATTATAATTTACAAATCAAATGTTAATAAGAGGTGTAAATGAATGTAATATCCCTTTTTATCGCTAGCAAATAAACTTAAGTCTTTTTCCATGACTGAGTGATTTGTGTGTGGTCGGTGGAGAAAAGTTGAGCCGGTTTTGTGCTTGTTGTAATGTTAATATCATTCACCAACTATCTATCTCTTGCGGTGCACCAAGGTTCGCATTTCAGGTAGTCGTTTTTAACTTTAAATACAAATGGAAGAATGAATTCACTACAAGAACATTACACTTTCAAAACAATATCTCCAGTAAACCAATATTTATTTTGATAAATAGTACTATTACTTGTATAACTTTTTATGGCGAGGTATTAACGTCACATCCTGTGGTATAAATGACAAATCGTATATTTGTATGCAATACTATCTTAGCTTAAGATTATTGTCAATTCGCTAATTCAATTTAAATTTCAACTTTTCATCATTCAGTTAATAATTTTTGTGTGTATTTTGAGGGGTGGTGACTAAAAGGCCACCCAATAATTCAAATGAAACAAAACTGAACATGAAAGGGAAATAATCACATCTAAAATTAAGAAGCTTTATGTTGTTTTAATTAAATCTGTGGTTAATATACAGATTACGATTTGCACATTACAATCCCGGCATAGCCAGCGGTTTTAATGTGTTAAACACCCGCCAATTGCTTGCTGTAAAACAGATTAGTTTAATTTGCCTAAACCATGTTTTCATCCTAATAAATTAAATTAATTTGTTCGGGCCTGGTTATATCAGAGAGCCTGAAGTCACTGATCTGACTTAATAAAGTGTAAATTGATCGAGTTATCGCCAGTTAGTCGCGGTCATCAATAAAAGATTAACTTGAGCGATACAGAGGACGACTTGCAGAGAAGGGAAAGCTGGAATCAAAGCTGTGAAAATGTGATATGTTGTTGGTATAGTGTCAATGACAGATGGTACTCATATTTTTACCACAGTACTTTAAAATATTTTCATCACCAATATAAACAGTATAAATACCACCGATTACCGTTTATATTTAATGTTATATGGACATAATGTGAAAATTGTTAATATTCTGTTTAAAATGTAAACAGGGGTTGCACCGTATATTTAGCATATTATTATACGTGTTCTGTCCGCAGGTTTGTCTTGGTATTGTATCTGTGGTGCGTCCCTCCTGCACATACTAAAAATATAATTGGGCGTCTTACATGATAACGAACACTGTATGGCATAGAAAGACTACTCCATTTCCAACCTTTCTGACAAGAAATTAAGTGTCAAATAATTCACGATCGATATCAAACAAATTGAATGTATATTTTAACATGGCCAAATTTTGAATGTTCTTTCACTGTAAAAATTAGGAAGAAAAATAAAGCGAATGATCACAAAGCTGGAATATTTTTTCTTTTAATTTTAAAATTTAAAGTATTACATATTTTAGTTTTTTATTTGCCTTCCTATGAAATATACGACGGGCATGTAAGACATATAAAAATAGGGTCGATTTAAAACCCTGAACATGACCTCTCGGTGAATTTTAAACGGTTTCAAATTTTCGCATCCAAATTGATGTATTTTTTTTCTTTGTGGGATAATACAGTGAGTTGTTGAAGTGTAAAATGAGAGTAGAAGGATGTTTGTCATTAAAATAATGATTGACTTGAGTGAAATATAAAACGCGATTTCCACCAAGTTGACACGATATGGATCAAACAGAGCTGAGAAGGGGATTACCCGCCCTTCATATACATATGGCGCATTAAGAGATCGTGTATCGACACAAGCAAGTTTCACATTCGTTGATGCCGATTATACAAACTACTTTTTTTCAAAGGAATATTTTTTTAAAAGTCCGTTGCAATTTTTTTTGCTCAATGAAATATGTCTAGAGGTAGATTTCAAAATACAACAAAAATTAGATGTTATATTTGAAGCATAGTAAAGGAACGAAAAGTACAAGATATTGGTATTATGACATTGCAATAAATCCAAAACATATTAAAATGTTGTTACTGTTTTGTTCTGACTGATCCAACCCATCACATCCTTACATCCAGTGATATTTAAACAATATTTTATGAAACTTATACAATAAATTTAGGATCTAAAATCAAATATTTTAAATTTTTAACGTTAATATAATATGTTATACTAAGAGGGAGTTCCAGAAAAGGAGTCCGCCAAAATATGACGATGTAGCATATACCATGTCTAAAGATGTCACAGAACTTTATTCTTCAAACATACGAGTGATTTCTTAATCGCGATATACTGTAATAATTACAAGTATATAGACCATATGGCTTGAGATGTTTGCACATGACTACGATAAAGCTTTGCTCTTTCACCCTCAATTAACTGGTTTTATCACTAAAAAATAAATGTGAGCTACCCTTTAAATTGAACACTTATTTTTCTTGCAAAGTAATAGAACCTGTTTTCTAGGACGTTAAACCCCATTTCATTTCATTTCATTTTCATTTCATTTCCAAGCCAAAAATTGTTTCTCGATAAACCCGACCTTGTAATATACATATTAGTATTAAGCAAACAGGTATGCGATATTCGTACTCTTATGTAATAACAATGACATACCATTTCTAAAATAGCAAAAAAAAAAAAAAAAAAGTATAATTTTAAAATAGGTTCGGCAGGATTTGAAATATGTTTTAGTGTTGAATGCGCATTGCACATTTAAATCTGTATGCATAAGTAATCATTCGTGTAGATGCATTTATATAGTCGGAGGAATACTACATTATCTGCTGAAACATAGCTATATACATATTAGTATAAACTTATGTTAAGCAAACAGGTATGCGATATTCGTACTCTTATGTAATAACAATGACATACCATTTCTAAAATAGCAAAAAAAAAAAAAAAAAAAAAAATAAAGTATAATTTTAAAATAGGTTCGCCAGGATTTGAAATATGTTTTAGTGTTGAATGTGCATTGCACATTTAAATCTGTATGCATAAGTAATCATTCGTGTAGATGCATTTATATAGTCGGAGGAATACTACATTATCTGCTGAAACATAGCTGGATGGTTTCTTAAGCCGAAAGTGTTCAATGTTACGTACGCTCTTTAGAAAATAAACACACGGTTTAAGGCTAATATACACTTAAAGTTTACCAAAATATTGGTAGGGGTTGAGTCGGTGTAGATGTAGAGCTGGGGCAAAAGCTCGACAAAATACACAAACAATGTATATCACCTTCTAGAAGTTATATTTGTACAGTGTATATTCAATATAAGATCAAATATATATATCATGTATATTCAATATGATCAAAGAAGTAAATACTATAATTTATATAACCGTCATACTCAAATTCTTCTGATGTTATATTTATGCTGGCCATTTTCCTTTACTGGGAATATGGTATCTGTTTGGTATCGCGATGAGAAATATCGATTAATTAGCTATAACCGAAACTTATTATTTCGAATATAACAAACTGATAAGGGCGCTCCAAAATGTATGAAGTAATTAAACAGTTTTTGATCAATAGAAGTGTATTGTTTTGAGTTTCAACTACATATACCAAAAACTTTAACTAATAGATTTGTTTAAACTTTAGAGTTTTTGATCATACACAATCAGAAGTTATTTTATCAAACACAAATCAGTCCAAATATTATTTTAATCGATCAATGTTATTGTCATTTTTTTTACTTTTGAGATACACGTGAAAAATCTGGTTCGTTGTGTCTTTAAAATGTCTGAATTGAAAAACCTTTATATCCAATTAGTTCCGTCACTGTTACTTAATTCAAATCCTGTTCTATTCCTTTGTAATTAATTTAATTAATCTATCGTTATAATTCAACTTAAGCCATACTAGGGCGTCTCCGCAGTGGGACGACCATTGTAAGTTCTTGAGACGATGAACAGGGATAAAAGATGGCAAATTTAAAGAAATAACATAATATCGATTATAATAATTTATATGTTTAACTCACTTGTAAAACTCGTTTATTTAAGCCCGTTTTTTGAGCGAGCTGTTTTAAGTCTTTGGCGTCTGGATTGTGATTTAAAGCGAAGTATGATTTCATTGTTCTCAATTGGTGATGTTTAAATGATGTTCTAACTCTTTTCTGTCTGGAACCTTGACTGTGATATGATTCTCGATCCAAAACCTCCCCTGGTCTCTCGCCATTATCTAATGGTCCCAAACCTGTGAAATAAATAAATATTTTACAAATTATTGAATAATAAGTGCGATACCAATGCATGTTGTGAGATCAAATCAGTAGTCCTAGATTGCTGCCCACCAAGTGATTTGCATGTCTACATCTAATGCGTCTTTCCTGCATGGATACATAGATACATCCATCTATCATCATACCTCGTATTTCAATGTGTGGATACATTCATCATCACACCTCATATATTAATGCATGGAAACACATTAAAAGATATATAAATTAAAGGGGTTTATCCAGATGATGCGTGGTGCTTATACGTCTTTAACAGATTCATGCTTGAATTTAAATTTACCAGGTGCCGTTAAAAGGTTTTAACAGTAAATTTCTGTATGTTTGAAACAACACCATTTAACAGTTAATTGATATGTTTAAAACCGGCATTCAACTAATAATTCTTTTAAAACTGTATTGCAAAGCCTAACATTGTAACTGTCAGTTCTATAACGTTCCAGCAATACAAGTCACAAATTGGAGAAACTATTACAAGTCGTGTACTTACATGTATATAAGTTTCTCTATATAATTTTTGTATATCTACCCAATGTTTTTGTAATTTTACTTAAACTAGGTTAATGACCAGAATCGACATATTAGTTTAAAGTATGTATTTATTTTAGCTAAATTACAATAAATACTAGGTGTATTCATGTGAGGCAGTCGTGTTAATGCATTGTCATTTCTTGTATAATAAATTCATGATATAAGTATTCTTAATAATGACAGATATTGTTAAAATCTATTTCAGTTTTAATTCCATGACAGGAGATTTCCGATACACTAATGATTCATAAGATTTTATTGTCTATGGTACCAGTTGAACTCATGACCAGTTAGTTGACGCTCCATTCGGACAATTTCCTCATTTAATACGTCCAGATTTGGCCAATCAAGCACAATCCTATTTGAAAGTAAATTCCACAAGCTGTCTAAAGCAGTCTAATGATTTGCAGGAATCAAGTCGTAAACACGGCTTAGCGTTTCACAAATCTTTAAATACTTGGAGTTTGACACGAAACCTTGAAAACTCATGGGATGATAATTAAATAGGACTAAAAAGAGATCTGGTCCTCAGCGTGTCACTAACGATAGATATTCTTTCTTAAATATAGAATTCAAATTTCATAAGTGGGTTTCGATTCTCGGACGCCTTTTTGAACGTTTTGTCGTTTTTTAAACAATATGTATGTACAGAAACTGGATTGGGGAACAGGCTTATAGACCACCTCTCCAGCTTTGAATAATTCGGGGTTAAATCTTTATTGGCATTTAGAAGTACGGGTGCTTTGTACTTTGCTATTTATTCTTTTTTTCTTTTTTGGGGGGATGGGGGTGGATGGCTGAATGGTTAGCGTGCGCGCGCTGTATCATAAAGTCTGTCATTGAGTCGACTGGCGTGGTTTCGAATCCCCGGTTGTACGTGACAAGGAGTAGGGTCGCCTGTACAACCTCGTGGGTTTTCTTCGGGTCCTCCGGTTTCCTCCCACTGCTAAAGACACTTATGCGCAAGCGAATTATTGAAATAAAATTAAACCATATGTTAGTCCCGAAATGAACTAGTTTGTGTCGAGTGGACGTTAAACCCCATTTCTCTCTCTCTCTCTTTTGTTTTTGTATTTAGATTTATATTTAGTCTATGTATTAATTAAACTGATTTATTAAAAAGAACAGAAAGTAACTTATAAAACCCATCAGAAAATCACATCTTTGTCAACCCAGAAAAAAACAGATTCACGGATGCAGGTTCAGAATTGTAGTCAAATTACCCATTAAGCAAATTCTATAAGAACTCCACTTTCTCTAATTTGTTCCGTATATATAATTCATTAGTTTAATTTAGATGATATAGGTCTATTGAATTGATCATAGGTAAGAAGAATCTGTTATTATTAGTGGAGGTTGTTACAGTGATGTTTATTGGTCACCTGTTAGACAACAAACTGACCTGATGAAACACACATATCTAAATATTTGTCTTTTACTGTTGCTTTGTCAGTTTTCGTTATGTTGTTAAACGGCCCATAAAATCTCTTCAGCTGTCAATTTATCTCCGAGGTTATTTGCCTAAACCCCAGGGAGTCGAGCTCGATTCCAGCGCTCTCACTATCGCCTTCGCGCACGGAAATCCTCAATCCCTGTCACTCTTATACGCTAAATACGAGATTTTGGCACTTTTATGTCTTTTCCGTAGAGTCTCGTATCAGCGAGATTTAAGAAGAATGGCGTTTGGTAAAAGATGTCGTACACAGCACGTAGCGTGGAAAATGGCACTTTATACAGCAGTTTACCAGATTGTTTTAATAGCCCCCTCTATCCTTATCTCCTTATCTTGATAAATTTCTTACGAAATGAAATATTTTCCCTTAAATTCCTCTGTCGTGTTTATTTCTCTATTTACTATGTCGTATTTTTATAGAATTAAGAATGAAACTGATAAGCACATTTTAAATATATACTTTTTTCAATTCATTTGTATTTTTGTGTGTTTTAAAAAAAATATGACTCCATCTTGGTTTTTTGTGTGTGTTATTTGTAGAAGGGGTTTGTGTTACACCTATCAGCGTGTTTTGGGAGCTTGTCAAGAACCGATGGATAAGATAGGCATTACAACACAAACTGGGTGTCGTTTACAAGCAATAGTAAACAAACTTCAATCTTTCTCATTTAACTTACGTTTTAAAAACTGATGGCAAGAAAATATGAAGGGTGTACCAAACACAAAAAATCCCCGCGAAAAGACGAAGTTGCCATCTGCTAAGGATATAATGAAAAATTCAGCATGTCATTCGGTTAATCGAGGCGTAAAAATTGAGATAAAAACAAACAGTTTGCGTATAGAGTAGGATTAAAGAGTGTTAAGTCGCTTAACTCTACCGTTGTATGACAGACACTTCCTGTGAAACGCCACTCGGATTGCTACAACTACAAAAAACATCTTACTGCCAATAATTATATACATTGATCAAATTAAAATTAGTCATCGAAAGTCAAAAATAGAAAACGGTTCTATTTAACAACAAGATCTGAAAACGACAAACGGACTAAAAATAAGCCCCGATTCAAAAATGTAATAAATCATTCCCATGTTTTAAATTTTAAAGTTCCAATGTTACATGCATCAGATAACTTTGAGTGTAATTTGGAATCGGCCAGCTTTGAGTGTAATAATTTGGAATCGAACAACTTTGAGTGTAATTTGGAATTGGACAACTTAAATTGTGTAACTTGGAACCGGACAACTTTGAGAAAACTTTTCCAACAATTATTTCTGTAGAAAAATGTTCTTATGGAAATTGCAGCAATCTTCAGAACACACTGGCGCCGGGCGTTTCAAGTTTTTCCAATGAAGAAAGTAAATATTATGAATGTATAATTGATAAAATGACAGTATGACATCAATAACCACCATAATGTCATTGAGTTTTTATAATACTAGTTAATATTGATTTATTGACACAAGTCTGCCATTGTAATTTACCAGGACATGTGACGTCTGTCAAACCTTCAACCCTACACACAAATTTCATCAGAAAACAAATTACGGACAACGAAACAGCAAATTTACGACATTGACCATTTCGCAAGAGAAACTAAATACGACGAAACAATGACGGACCGAATGAAGCAAACACACACGCACGTGTTGATAAGCAGAGTCATATATTAAAGTTTAGTGCTAGTAAAATCTGACAAACGACATGTCTGGAATTCTACAAATGATCAGCCCAATTTAGAGTTGGACAGCGAGGTTGGCCGTGTGTTTTACGACTGTTTAAAATGACAGATATAACGAGGCTTGTTTATGTTCGTGTAGAGGATATGTTGGCTATATACATCAAACATGCCTATATATTTTTAGCCTCGCTTCCATTCCACCTGCCCTGACAAATTCTGTCGTCTGCCAGTCTGTACTTCCGGAATAAACTTGATAAAAAAAAAGATTTTATCCGTGAATCGTTTCTATCATCCAGTGATCCATTAGTAATACGTCATCAACGATTTTTCTTTAATTAAACCAGTCTTCTGTTACACATAATAAAATCATCAAAGCGGTATGAATATCATATTAGATATTTTGTTTTATAGTAAGCATTGATTAACTTTACAACGTGATGGAATTCATCTTAAATAATTTAAAATCACTTTGCAACGCTTACTGATCTCTTTCGCGATTTTGTTCATAATTTATAACAAGCAACTCAACCAAGGGCAAATGTTTTGAATAATGTTTTCTTTGCGATAAACTTGAATACTTTTCTATATTAATTTGATCTATGTAACTGTCATAATAGACTATCGCTGATTGTTTCTATAATTGCTCGAAATAGCATGTGGATTTTATGAATTTTCAATAGGTCTTATATTATAAATTGAATCTGTTAGCTAGATTATAATTTTGTAAACGAAACAGGATTTATTCGTGTAATGTTAAATATACAAGAATGTATTTAGTTAATGCAAATAAATATTTTAACTAAGCAAAGAAAACACTCAGTAAGTCAATTAATTAAAGCAACAATTGAATTTTAATAAATTATATTATATATTTGAAATTATAATATTGTAAAATCACATAAATTTAAACTTGAAGTAAGCTTGCTATTTTATAAAACTGTTATGTTTTTTAGATCAATACTAAAAGGACAAATTCACGTTCTTTGTGATAAAAGGTCGATTATTCAATAATTACTAATGCCTTTTAATCCTGATAGTTTGTTCAAAGAATGTATCGTTTACCATCAATGAGAAACAATAGAAACCCCAACATATTGCTCGTGCCACCTGAGTTCAGCTAGGTCTGGGATAATGTTTCAAGAAATACTATTTCTGTTTATTCGACATGTTTCAAAATGGAAGCAACAAGACATTCGCACCATTTCTGTTTCTAGATTCGGCCTAAGGCAAAATATCCACAACTCTTATGTATGATAAGTAAACTTATATATATAAACAATTTTTATAATCTGACATC